ATAAAATTTATTTTATTTTTATTTTATGTGTATGAGTGTTTTGCCTGCATGTATGTAAGTACACTTTGTGTGTGCAATGCCCACAGAGGCTAGAAGAGGATGGCAAATCCCTTGGAACTGGCATTACAGAGGGTTGTTAGCCACTATATGGTACTGGGAACTGAACCCGGCATGGTCTTCTGCAATAGCAGCCAGTGCTCTTAGCTACTCAGCCATCTCTCCTGCCCCAGGACAAAGGACTCTTCATGTATTGTGGAGTGAACATCATGGCTAGTAAATACATGGCATTCTGTATTTGCCCCAAACTCAAGAGTGAGCCCTAAGATAAATTACAGCTGGTGGATGGTGATAATACAGGTTCCTCTATTGTAACAAATGCCCCACTGTAATGTGGGATGTAGATAGTGGGCAGGTTTAGGGAGAAAAGGTAATACATGGGAATTTTCTGTACTTTATGCTTAATTTGGCTGTGAGCCTAAAGCTGCTCTAAAAATTGAAGTTTGTTAGTTTAAAAGAAAAAAAATAAAGTATGACAGAATATGTGACTAAGCAAATGAGTACATGTGGTGGTTCTCACATTAGTTCTGTTAAAAAAAATTGAACTGGAGAGATAGCTCAGTGGTTAAGAGCACTGGCTGTTTTTGTAGAAGACCTGGGTTCAAATCCCAGCACCTACATGGCACTAACAACCGTCCAGAACTCGAGTTCCAGAGGATCTGACCTCTATTGACCTCCATGGGCATTGCATGACACGGGTGCACTTACATACATGCAGACAAAACACTCATACATAAAATAAAAATAAATGAATAATTTTTAAAAATCCCAAACTCCAAATTCAAACGCTGAAAATGTGAAGCAAAGCCTTATGGGAATGAGCCCCACAGGCAGTGCTGCAGTCCCTCAGCCAACCCTGACACCAGCTGCAGAAGGCAAGGCTTTCTGCTGCTTGTTTAGGGAGACTGTAGCCCCACCCTCTAACCTTAGACAACATAATGAAAGACCTGTCAAACACTGATACATCTTGCATTTGCTAAGAGCATGCCCCATGCAGAACTATATACCAGATCCTGGACCCACATCTGCTGGAATGACCTAAGACTCACAGTTCTGCCTTGGCTTCCCAAGTCCTGGAATTACAGGCATGTGTCGGCATGCCCAGCATATTCTTGGGCATGATCTTTGAAATTAGGCTCCTCCTTTTGTGCTTTAGAGTTCCCTATGAGACTTCGTGATGTGCTTTGGCAGCTTGTGGTCCTGGGCTAGGTTCTACTCTTTGGTACAGCTTTCCTCCATAGAACTGTCCGGCTGGACCCTAGGAATGGATCTGTGTCAGTAGTTGTCTGAACACTGATAGCTGTTGGTTCACCTGTGGACCTGGAGTTTCAGGTGATCCTACAGCACCGAGAAGGAACTTAGACCTGGTTTGATTCTAGATTCTAGGATCATCAGAGCCAAAAAGAAACTTTCCAGGCTACAGATACATGAAAATTAAGTCTCGAATATTATTGATTTTTTTTCCTTCATTTTCTGTCTTTTGATCAAAGGACTTCGTCTTCCCTTTGTTAGATGGAGCAGACTGCTCACCCTAGCTCCAGACAGCACTCACAAGCTTTGTCCGGGCCTTTTTGCCTAGCTTGGCATACTCCACTCCTTTAGGGAAAAAAGGGTCAACTCCAAAAACAGAAGTCCTGTTTGATAAAGCCCTCTGGGAGATTTCCCTGATTTCCAGACTGTGTACTTCCTGATGAATGGTTGTATAAAGACAGGAGCCAGTCAGAATAGGGCATCCCAAAGTGGAGGAAGCAGGACACTGCTTGTGGTTATTGGGGACATCTCATCTGCAAGACCTCTTTCACTGACAAGCATGCTGCTTCTTGCCTGGGCATCATATATGCTGCCTTGCTTCCTAGAAGGAAGGATAATACACTGGACAAAAGAGTACGTGGGCAGTGACCAGAGACAGAAAATGAAGGGAAAAAGATAAACCAGTCAATAACGTGTCAGATTCAACTTTCATAGTATCTACAGGCTGGAAATTTTTCTTTTGGGCTCTGATGATACTGGAACTAGATTTAATACAGGCCTAAGTTCCTCAGTACTATAGGATCACCCTAGACTCAAGATCTGCAGGTGGCCCAATAGCTGTTAGTATAGTGTTCAGACAACTACTGACACAGATCCATTCCTGGAGTCCAGCCAGACAGTACTAAGTGAGGAAAGCTGTACCAAAGAATGGAATCTAACCCCGAACCTCAAGGTGCTAAAGCACATCACAAAGTCTCAACCATGGGGAACTCTAAAGATCAAAAGGAAGAGCCTAATTTCAAAGATCATGCCTAAGGAAATATGCTGTGCATAGTGACACATACCTGTAATCCCAGGACTTGGGAAGCCAAGGCAGAAGAGTTGTGTTTCTGAGGCCAGACTGAACTCTATACTGAGACCCTGTCTCAAAAACAAACAAAAAATGCCCACCACCACCGGAAAAACAGAAGCCAGGAAAATCTGGTAAGGAAGGTGAACATATACCAATGTGGCGACTGTAGCTCTGGGATGTTCGGGGTATACCATTACCTACTATTGCACATCTATGATGTGAGTGTGTCAGTTGGCTGCATGTTTTAAGCAGGTTCTGTGCTACTCTTTCAGCAATGGGATTCCTTGGTCCAGAAGTTAAGGCTGGGAGGCAGGGCACAGGTTTCAGCACTCAGAAACAAACAGGCAGGATGAATGGAATCTGGCTGGTAGGGTGAAGCCTGAGGTGAGGGCAGAACATCGGTGGGAAGCAAGGAATGCCTGCTGCTCATAGACTCCCATAATCTCCAGCATAAAGACCCCAGTTTTTTCCTTAAATTCAACCTTTCTTTGGTATGCTGTATCTTCAGGTCACCACACTAGTTCAGTCGTGTGCAGTTACCACATCCTAGTAGTCCTGCAATCCCAGGTTAAGAGGGAAAAACTCAGGGAGATACTGATTTGTCCTTCAGGACTCCCTCATGCTATTTGGATGAGCTTGTCCTAATGCTTACTGGCTCTAGTGCAAGAACACAAACAGAATCCCACATATCATTTTCCTAAATACTTAAAAGGCTATTAAAATATATTAAATCCTCCTATAGATATATCTATAAGGCTGGTATCCTTGGACTAGCAAGAGTTCCATGGTGGATATTAATCTGTCCACACTGCAGGGCATACATTTCCAAGCTTCATACAGTATAGATTCTGTCTCTTCCGGTGGCCTGGAGATGCAGCCCCAGCAGCATGGCCTGCTTTCAGGAGGGTGGATGGAATGGAACCATGGAAACAGGTAATTCCAAGGTCCCAGGGGCCAAAGTATAGTCTAGCTGGTGTTTCCATTCTGGGTAGGAATGACTCTTTAGCCTGTGGGATTTTCCTTTGGTGGGGAGAGAGGTACAGCCAGAGGAAGACTGGTGGATCCCTCTAAAGTGCAGGGCTAAGGCAGGGTCTGTCTGTCCCAGGCCAGAAGTGCTGCCAGTGGGCGAGAGGCAAGAGCCACCATGCCTCTCTGTGTTTAAGGACTGCAGTTGGAGTTCTCTGTGGCAGGAGGCAGGATTCCTTCTTTCTCATGGAAGATTATGGATGCAGTTCAGGAACCTCAGAGGATATGAAGTCTTAATGTCAAAACTGCATTTTTGGGGGCTGGAGAGGTGGCTCAGTGGTTAAAAACACTGACTGTTCTTGCAGAAGACCTGGGTTCAAATCCCAGCACCCACATGGCAGCTAACAACTATCCGTAACTCCAGTTCCAGGGGATCCCACAGCCTCTTTTGTCCTCTGAGGGCATTGCACGACACGGGTGCACTTACTTACATGCAGGCATAACACTCATACCCATATAATAAAAATAATAAAATTTTTTTAAATGTGGGGCTGGAGAGATGGCTCAGTGGTTAAGAACATTGACTGTTCTTGCAGAAGACCCGGGTTTGAATTCCAACACCCACATGGCAGCTAACAACTGTCTGTAACTCCAGTTCCAGGGGATCCAACAGCCTCTTCTGTCCTCCGAGGGCATTGCACAACATGGGTGCATTTACCTTACATGCAGGCAATACACGCATACACATAAATAAAAATAATAAAATATATTTTTTAAAAAAACTGCATTTTCTGCTCAGTCTACCAGCCTTACCCATAAGCCAGTAGCGTACAATCTTATTTGATTTTCTTCAAATTTAAAGGGAGAGTCTTTATCCCCAAGGAAAAGCCTGTAGAAACTCGTAAAGAAGAGAAAGTGACCCTGGATCCAGAACTGGAAGAAGCACTGGCCAGTGCCTCTGACACCGAACTCTATGATCTTGCAGGTTAGTTCTCCATGCCAGCTGTGACCCCTAGGTGGGCACTTACTTTGTACAAACCTGTGAGTTTCTAGGTAGCTGTTGAGTATGTGCTGCCAACTTGGCTGTAGATGTGCTGTAGCTGAGAGACTGGATGCAGTCACTAAGCAGACTAACCCACTCTGCTGTAAAATACCCAAATGATGCCCATCCTACAAAGCTCTAGCAACTATGAGAAATCAAAGAGAAAAAATACGAATGAATATTGAGCACCCGAAAAGAATAAATTTACAAGTCAGTTGTGATGACTCATGCTTATAATCCCAGTACTGAGGCAGGAGAATTAGGAGTTCAAGTCCAGCCTGGCCTACAAAGTGGACACCCTATTTCAAAAAACAAAATAGGGGCTGGAGAGATGACTCAGTGGTTAAGAGCACTGGCTGCTCTTGCAGAGGACCTGGGTTCAGTTCCCAGCACCCACATGGTAGCTAACAACTGTCCGTAACTCCAGTTCTAGGGGGTCCAACTCCCTCTTCTGACCTACGTGGGCATTGTATGACATGGATGCACTTACATGCATGCAGGCAATACACTCATACACATAAAATAAATATAATAAAATTTTTAAAATTAGAAAAAGAATGAAATAGCACCTTTGCTTTCCTGGGAGCTTTTGTATTAAATGCACTTACTGTTCATTTCATGAGCACATTTTCATCAAATTCTGTCTCTCCCTCACAGTTGCCTTTCTAAGCTGATTTGTACTCAGAGGTCTACTAGCTTTTTATTGTTCCTTAACAGTGGAAACATGAAGATGATAACTGGATTGTTTATTGATTTTATGTGTAGATATAAGATATAAAAAGCTCAAATAGTACAGAAGAAATGAAGTCTTTCCCCAAAATTACTTAAGTCTTTTCCCTTTTAAAAGAAGTGGGGGTTTTTGCGTGTGTGTGTGTGTGTGTGTGTGTGTGTGTGTGTGTGTGTATGTACCACGGTATATGCCACAGAATGCAAATGGAATTCAGAGGACAATTTTGTGGAGTTGCTCCCCTCCTACTTTAACAAATAGGTTCTGGGGATCAAACTCAGCTTGTCAGGCTTGTGTCTTCAGATGACAAGTGCCTTCACCTACCGAGCCCAGGTGGACCTGTGTCCACCTCCCCAGCATGGCATTACAAGTCCACACCATCACAACCTGCTTTTTTACATTTTCTGGATCTGTAGCTCAGGTCCTTGTGCTTGCAAGGGAAGTACTTAACAGATAGAACTCTGATTCCTACTCCACTGGAAGACATGCTTCCTCTTGGAGCATCTGCCTTGCCTCATTCCAACACAGCTGCCATCCCCAAACATTCATTTTCTTTTGTCCTTCTGTGATGTCAGGAGTTGACGTCAAGTTCACATATCCGAATGTCTGTTAGACATCCCTGTAGAATATGAGTCACTTGGTGAGGAAAGGGCTTTGCTGTGACTGGGCATCTTGGCCCTTTGGTTACTATGGAAGATCCTGCCATGGTTACTACTTCTCCCAAGGGTTTCTTCCAGGATTCTAGTGGGATTGCCTAAAGGAAGGATACAGAGTGGGACTTGGATTCTCAGGAAACAACTGAGAAAGGAGAAAGAAAAAATCTAAGTAATCATTGGGATGATACTAGAGCCTGAAAGCCATGTAATAAATCCAGGGAGAGAAAGCAAACAGAAGACTGCCCTTGTTTCTCCTTACTCAGCCTCCTTCCCTGACCAAGTGCTCTCTAAGAACTCAATGAGATTCCATGTCTGTGGAGAAGGGTGCAGCTTCCCTAGGATGGATCTTTCTGGAAGATTGAGGATAGCCCCATTAGTGGAAGGGCTGAGAGTAGCTGAGGTTTAGTTGAGTGTGGAAACATTGCCTGTGCTGTTATGAAAGGTAGTGAGCAGAAAGACAAGCAATTCAAGGGAAGGCAACTGATCTCTCAGTGCCTCCTGGGCCATCCATAGTTCATGTGGTCACCATCAGATACTAGATCACAGCGCTACTGGTCTAGAGATTTGATCTTGTCAGGATACACAGAAGCAGTGGGATTGGAGCAGGGTGTAGAGGACTGATCCCTAGCTAGAGTCATAGGAAACAAAACTAAAACTAAAAGTTTGGGGCCAGTGGTAGTGTACTCTTATAATCTAGCACTTGAGTGGTGAAGGCAGGAGGCTCAAGAATTCAACCAGCCGAGCTAGATGAGACCTTATCTCAAAATATAAAATAGTACATAATAACACCACTACCTTGGGTTAGGTACTGGCCTGTAATTCCAGCTAATTGGGAGACTAAGGCAGGAGGATTGCTTGAGCTCCAGAGGCTAGGGTCAGCCTAAGCAAGACAGCAAAAATAAAATAAAAGTAAATAAGTAAAACTGCCAGGTGTGGTGGCGCATGCCTTTAGTCCCAGCACTTAGGAGTCAGAGTCAAGTGGATCTCTGTGAGTTCGAGTCCAGCCTGGTCTACATAGTGAGTTCCAGGCCAGCTGGGGCTACAGGGAGACCCTATCTCAAAAAGACCAAAAAAAAGAAAAAGTAAAATTCTGCAATGGGAACCAAATTGTAAGTAGACTTTACTTGGTGAACAAGAAGGGACAGATCATGAAGACAGACAATGCCCAAAGACACCATGGCAATTTCTTATTTAACATGCATTTGTTGAGGGCTGGAGCAATGGCTCAGTGGTTAAGAGCACTCAGTGGTTAAGAACAGAACCAGGTTCTGTTCCCAGCACCCACATGGCCACTAGCAATCATCTGTAACTACAGTTCCAGGGGATCTGATGCCCTCTTCTGGTATCTCTGGCCATTACACACATGTGGTGCTCTTACATACATGTAGGCAAAACACTCCTATACCATATACATATATGTATATCCATTCTACATTGTAAAATGCTTAGGAGAACACCTGACACAGGATGACATCTGATCTTGGTAATAGGTAAAGTACTATTATTAGTCCATTTTACAATGAGGTGAGTTAATCAGTTTTACTGTGACAAAATACATGAGCAAAGCAACCCTAAGTTTCTAAGATTTCAGTCCATCATTGCAAGAAGGTCATGGTGGAGCAGAGAAGCCCACCTAATGACAGCCAAGAAGCAGAGGCGGGGGAATATATCTGTGTCTCCTCTCCTTTTTCTCCTTTTATTGCATTGAGATCCTCAACTTATGGGATGGTGCCAAGCACACCCAGATCTGGACTTCCCACCTTAGTGGCTCCTCCCAGGAAATGTCCCCACAGAACACCTTCCAGTGCTGTACTAATTTAGGTGTTTTCCTCATCTAGTCAAGTTGGCAATCAATTGAAATTAATGAGGAAATGCATTCAGTAGGTATTCAATAGCTTCCCAAGACATACAGATGTGACAGTAGGGTTCAATCTCTGTGTGCTCCACTCTCCCTCTTAAATCCTTGGGTTTCATTGGGGGCTTTTTGTTTTGTTTGCAGTGCAAGGAATTGAACCCAGGGCTTTGGGTGTGCTAGACAAGGGCTCCACCTCAGAACTATATTCCCAGCCCTTTGATTGTTGGTTTAGTTTTATACAAGGTCTCATTATGTAGCCACTACTGGCCTTGAACTCTCTGTGTAGACCAAGCTGGCCTCAGACTCTCAGAAATCCACCAGCCTCAGCCTTCCAAGTGTGTACTACCATGCCTGGCCTGGTTTTGGGTGTGTGTGTGTGTGTTTGTTTGTTTGTTTGTTTGGTCTTTTTGAGACAGGGTGTCCCTGTAGCCCCAGCTAGCCTGCTGGAACTCAGTATGTAGACCAGGCTGGCCTTGAGCCTACAGAGATCTGCCTGCCTCTGCCTCCCCAGTGTTGGGATTAAAGGCTTGCGTCACCATGCCTGGCTTGGTCTCATTTTGTTTTAAGATTTATTTTTATTTTTAATTATGTGTATGCATGTGTACCTTCGTGAGGTATGTGCACATGAGTGGAGGTGCCCATATAGGCCAGAAAAGGGCATCAGATCCCCTGGAGCTGGAGGTACAGGCTGTTTTGAGCTGCCCAGCATGGGTGCTGGGAACTGAATTCAGGCCCTCTGCAAGAGGAGTACACACTCTTAACTACTGAGCATCTCTCCGGTTCTTGGATTTTTTTTTTTTTTAAACACTCTCACTATGTAGTCCAGACTGGCCAAGTTAACCTTGAACTCTTGAACTTTCTGTTTAGCCCATGCTGGTCTCAAACTTGAAATCTTACCTCCCATGAATAGAACCTCTAACTCTATTCTTACTGGCTTAACTATTTGCCCTTCTTTGTATTGTACTGGCTGCCTCCCTCCTAAGAGGTAGCTTACAGTAGATCTGATCAGGATCTCAGGACACCTCTGCCTTTCTTGCACCTGTAATCTCACTAGCAGGGAAGTCCTTTTCAGCCTTTCCAGCACCATCATGCCCCAGTGTTGCTTCCTGCATACAACGCTGCCTCCTGGTGCCAAGTCCATGTAACACAGGAGGCTAAGACCTTGATATTTTCAGCTGGCCTTTTAGTCACTTCTTTTATTTCCCATCCTGGGATGCTAAAGGCAGGGAAAGGACTTCTTTTTCTACTGAAGGAGGGAAGCTTACACTGAAAGAAGACCAAGTTTCCCTGCAAGTTTGAGGTCAGTCTGATCTACATGAGTTCCAGGCTAGCCTAGGTTATTTATCGAGACCCTGTCTCAAACAAGACAAAACTCTTAGATTGAATCCCACTTTCTCATTTTACAGATAAGAGAAATAGGTGGGAGTGAGTATGGTGGTGCACACCTGTAATCCTAGCATTTGGGAGGCAGAAGCAGGAGGATCACACCTAGCCTACAGAGTGAGTTCCAGGCCAGCCAGGGCAATAAAGTGAGACCCTGGGGGTAGAGTTTGGGAATAGCTGAATGTTGAGTCTACTTAACTAGTGAAAAGTTCTAGTTTCATTTCTCTTACTGTGATAAAATACCCTGAGTAAAAGCAACATGGGAGGAAGGGTTTATTCAGCTTACAATTCCAGGTCACAGTCCATCACTGAGGGGGAGTCAAGGCAGGAACTCAAGCAGCTAGTCACATCACACCTACAGTCTGGAGTGGAGAGAAATAAATACATAGATGCTACGTGCTTGTTCGCTCTGTTCAGCTGGCCTTCTTCACTCTTACACAGTTCCTGGCCCAACCCATGAAATGGCACCACCCACAATGGACTGAGTCTTCTTATATCAATTAACAATCAAGACAGTCCCTCACAGACATGCCCACAAGCCAACCTGATCTAGGAAATTCCTCAGTAAGACTATCTTTTCAAGTGATTCTAAGTTGTGTAAAATTGACAGATAAACTAAAGAGCACAAGGACCTAAGCAGTTTTTCAGTAACTAGAAGACATGGTTACATAATTGTTCCTCAGATCGTAAATGATCCTACACATCTAGATACAGAAATGCATGTTAGGTTACTAGTATTTTTTAGAAAGAGGATTTTAAAAATAAGTTTATTTAATATTGTGGATGTACCACATACTGTGTAAGGAAAGGGGACCAGGACACTTTGTGCTATCAGTTGTTCTTCAGGGGACAAATTAACAATGTGAACATCCTAACACACTTCTCAAACATTAATACTTGTTTATTATTGTTGTTTTCAGCTGTTCTAGGAGTACACAATTTGCTCAATAATCCAAAGTTTGATGAAGAAACAGCCAATGGCAAAGGTGGCAAGGGGCCCGTAAGGAGTAAGTTGATATGGAATCCTGGGTCTTGGGAAGCTGTGATGTCTTTGCAGCCTCTGTCTGGTACCCCTAGGAGAGAGGCCTGTTGCTTCTAAAAGGGATCTTTAGGCTCTGAGTGATCGATCGAAACCAGTTGGAGAAGGTGATAATGGGCACACCACCTGAGTGTGGCTAGAATCACAGAACACATCCGTGGTTGCTTGTCCATTTGGAAGAGAAAAATTGCTGATAAAAATTTTGCATGGTCACTGTCAGGTGTGGTGGCACATGCCTTTAATCCCAGCAGAGGCAGAAGCAGGTGCTCTCTGTGAGTTCAAGGTCAACCTGGTCTACATAGTGAGTTCCAGGACAGCTGGGGCTACAGAGAGACCCTGTCTCAAAAAGACACCCCGTCCCCGACAAAAAAAATTTTTGCGTAGTCAGTCCTGAATGAAAATAATATTTCATGTTCCAAAAGATGTTTTAATCAATGAGGGAAGCTTGCCTAAATTCCTTTTATACCAGTGTCCTTCTGTCTCAATAATGGGGACTGGGTGTGGTAGTATACCCCTTTAATCTCAATACTCAAGAGGCAAAGGCAAATAGATCTCTGTAAATTCAAGGCCAGCCAGGTCTAGGGAGTTCTAGGCCAGCCAGGGCTGTATAGTGAGACTGTCTCAAACAAACACATCAATAATGGATGCTGGTCATTACAGTCTCAATACCTACTTCCCCCAGAGAACATGAAGGTCACCCTGCCATGGACAGCTCCGGCCCACTGCCTATTATGTCAGCTCTTCATCAGTCATCTGTTAAATACCTGCAGTGTGTCAGGAATGTTCTGAGTTTATGAGGAAAGAGTCTTTTCCAAAGTAATTTAACCAGTCTGGTGTAGACACAGACTACTAATCAGGTGATCTTAGCACTTTGTGATCCAACTGCTGTGAAAACATAGATCAAATCTTCTCCTGAATTAATTACTTGTTATTCTCTCTGATGGAGACTTCAGAGATACTGTTTAGGTTCAGTAGTTTCCTTGTTTGTTTATTAGTGAGACAAGGTCTTGCTACATAGCTTAGGATGGCCTCAAACTCATCCTCCTTAGCCTCTTGACTACTGGAATTATAGTTGTGTTGATTTTATAAGGGCTCTGTGTATATTGGCATATTAATCCTTTGTATGTTACATGCATCCCAAACATTTTCTGATTATTGGATGTTTTGGGGTGTTTTTTGGTTTTTGGTTTTTTTTTTTCAGAGCTGAGGACCGAACCCAGGGCCTTGCGCTTGCTAGGCAAGCACTCTACCACTGAGCTAAATCCCCAACCGCCCCCCCCCTTTTTTAACAAAGTAAGATAGGATCCTACTTTGTATCCCAAACTGACCTGGAACTCACTCTATGGCCTAGGCTGTCTTTAGACTCATGATCCTCTTGCCTCAGTGTCCCAAATGCTGGGATCACAGGCTTATAGTACCATACCTGGCTCTAATAATTGCCTTTGATAGATCTTTTATTCTTCCTTTCTGTCCCTCGTGTTTCCATATCTTTCTCAAAGCTAAAGCTCCAAAATGGAAATTGGAGGGGGCTAGAGTATGATCAAGAAGTCAGAAAGGTATTAATACTTAAGAAATTAGGCTAGGGGTGTAACTCAGTAGTACAGCATATCCTGAGCACAAATGGGTCCTGGGTTTGATTTCTATCACTGCCTAAAATTAACAAAGCAGATTTGGGAAATGAAGAGTCACATTGAGGTGTCCATTTACATCTCAGCTCCTGTGGTTTGGTGGAGATAATCTGGAAGAAGGCAGTATGGAGTGACTACCCAAGGACGTCTCAGGGGGTTGGAGTTTGCTCCAGGGCCTTCTGCGCTTTGACACCATGTTTATCACTCAGTGAGACCTCTCAATGTGACTGAAATGCATCTCTCTTCCGAACAACTCAGAGCACTACCTCCTAAAAAGTTGACTATCGTTGAAACTAGTATTATTTGAATCTACCTGAAAGAATGCTGATCTCTGTTTTAATAGGACAACCTTGTGTTTTCTTTTTTGAAACTAAAACTTGTGTTTTAGATGTGGTCAAAGGTGAAAAAGTCAAGCCCATATTTGAGGAACCACCCAATCCCACAAATGTGGAAGCAAGTCTGCAGCAGGTGAAAGCCAACGAGCCCAGCCTGCAGGAGGTCAATCTCAACAACATCAAGGTACTTCATTGTGATGTCTGTTGGTTTATGCCTACGTCCAAAAGCATGCTGGAGATTACTGATCACCTGCTCTTACACTGGCTTACAGTCCTCTGAAGGCACTGATTTTGAGACAAAATAATCTATTTAAGACAAGTGGGTAGGCCGGGCATGGTGGCATATGCCTTTAGTGGGAGGCAGAGGCAGGCAGATCTTTGTGAGTTCAAGGCCAGCCTGGTCTACATAGTGAGTTCTAGGCCAGCTGGGGCTACAGGAAGACCCTGTCTTAAAAAGACAAAAAAAAAAAAAAAGATAAGTGTGTCTACAGAGAGAGAGAGAGACAGAGAGAGAGAGAGGAAATATGTATATGTGTTTGAGTTGAGACAGGGTCTTACTTTGTATCTCTAGCTGGCCTGGAACTTGCTGTGTAGACAAAGCTAGCTTCAAAAATCACAGAGATCTCCTTGCCTCTGTCTCCCCAGGGCTTGGATTAAAGGTGTACACCACCAAGCCTGGCCCAATTTCTAGAACTTTTTTGAAAAGACTCATAGTACTTAGGTTAAATATAGTATATTAGTTGTGTCTGTTGCTGAATAACAAATTAAACTTTTTTTTGCAGTGCTAGGGATCAAACCCCAGGGCCTCATGCCTGCTGAAGCACTGCCTCAACTCCTTCACACAATTTAAAGTGTCAGGAATATGAGGGAAACTTAAAAGGGCAGTTAGCACAGGATCTCAGATGAGACCATAATGAAGCTGTCAGCCAGGGCTCTATCCAAAGCATCCCTTTCCAAAATGGTAAGAGACCTCTCGCTTTCCCACCACATGGGCCTCTTTATAGGCTCAGTGTCTTCACACAACTACGGCTGGCTTTCCCTGAAAGAAGTGTCCCTGGAGTAAAAGAGAACAAGAACTGGGGTTGAGAGATGGCTCTGCAGTTAGAAGCACTTGCTTCTAAATGAGAACCTGAGTTTGGTCCCCAACACCCATGTTGGATGGCTCACAATCACGGAGAACTCCAGCTCCAGGGAATCTGATGCCTTTGGCCTCCGTGGGAACCCCCCCCACACACACACATGTACATATACCCACACACAGACACACATGCATATACACATAATTAAAAAATAAATAGTTTTAAAATATAGGAGCAGCCGGGCATGGTGGCGCATGCCTGTAGTCCCAGCACTTGGGAGGCAGAGGCAGGCAGATCTCTGTGAGTTCAAGGCCAGCCTGGTCTACATAGTTCCAGGATAGCTGGGGCTATAGGGAGACCCTGTCTCAAAAAGACAAAAAAAAACCAGGGCTATAGAGAGACCCTATAAATAAGTAAACAAACAAACCTTAAAGAGGTTAAGTTGATAAGGTCACTCAGTTCATCTGTAGTACAGCCAAGACTCATGTCCACTGTTAGATGCACCTTGGTGCCTGCTTCCATAGTGGTCAGTACTGCACTAAGTATTCTATAAGAGAGAGGGCAAGCCAGGTGCAGTGGCTCACACCTGTGACTTCAGCACTTTGGAAAGTGGAAGCAGAAGGAACACCATGAGAGCCAGCCTCATGACATAGTGAAGCCAGTTTGAAGCCAGCCTAGGCTTAAGATCCATTCAATCTTTACCTAGAAAAACTTATAGCAGGAGAAAAACACTAAACAAATATTGACCATAGGATGTATGGTGAGCCTTAAAATAGTATGGAATTGTAGGAAAAGAAAATTTTGATACTACCCAGGAGAACGAATTTTTAAAAAAAGAGGAAATGGAATTTCATATGAATATTCAGAGACTAGAAATTAATCAGAAAAAAACAGACAAGAGGACTTTTCAGACAAAGTAAAAGAGACTATCTAAGGGTGTGTGTGTGAGAGGATCTGAGTTCAGTTCCCAGCGCCCACATTGGTCCCAGTAGCTTGTAATTCCAGCTTAAGAACACAAGCACCCTCTCTCTCTTTCTCTCTCTCTCTCTCTCTTACAAATTAGAAAAAAAAAAATGGGTGTGGTGGGGCATGCCTGTAGTCCCAGCACTTGGGAGGCAGAGGCAAGCGGATCTCTGTGAGTTCAAGGCCAGCCTGGTTTACATAGTGAGTTCCAGGCCAGCTGGGGCTACAGGGAGACCCTGTTTCAAAAGACCAAATAAATAAATAAATAAATAAATCTTTAATATTTTATTTTATTTTACTATGTGTATGAGTGTATTGCCTGCATGTATGTAAGTGCACCTGTGTGGTGCAAGGCCCACGGAAATCAGAAGAAGGTGTTGGATCCCCTGGAACTAGAGTTACAGATGGTTGTTAGCCACCATGTGGTTGCTGGGATTCAAACCCGGGCCTTTTGCAGGAACAGCTAGTACACTTAACTGCTGAGCCATCTCTCCAGATCACCCCCACCCCATTTTTTTTTATCTTTTTGAGACAGGGTCTCCCTGTAGCCCCAGTTGTCCCAGAACTCGCTATGTAGACCAGGCTGGCCTCAAACTCACGGAGATCCACCTGCCTCTGCCTCCTGAGTGCAGGGATCAAAGGCGTGTACCACCACACCTAGCCTTTATTATTTTTCTTTTATATGTATGAGTGTATTGCTTGCATGTAGGTAGGTGTACATGTTGTGAGGTGCCCATGGAGGTCAGAAGAGGGCATCAGATCCCCTGGAACTGGCGTTCTGGATGATTTTTAGCCAACATGTGAGTGCTGGGAACAGAACTCAGGTCCTCTGCAAGAGCCGCTAGTGCTCTTAACTGCTGAGTCATCTCTCTAGCCCCCAGAAATAAATCTTTTAAAAAGAAGTCTTTTGTGTTAGATTCCCTTATTGGACACTGAGAGGCACTATTGTCTCAGGATAGCTCAGTCATCACAAATGGATAATAAAACTTTTTTTTTTAGAGGTCATGGTGGCACACACCTTTAATCCCAGCACTTGGGAGGCAAATCTCTGTGAGTTCAAAGCTAGTGTGGTCTATATAGTGAGTTCCAGGCCAACTGGGGCTATAAGGAGACCTTGTCTGAAAAAAAAAAAGAAAAAAGATACCATGTAATCAGCCATCTAATCATAGGTGATATTTAAAAGTTACAAGGGGCTGGCTGGTTGTGTAGCTCAGTGGCAGAGCACATACTTAGCATATATGAAGCTATGAATTAAATCAAAAAAGAAAAAATAGTTGTAGATCTGTTTAACTATTGGGGGATGGGTGTGCAGTGAATGGTTTATAAACTAGTCATGTCTTCTGTGCCTTAGAACATTCCAATTCCAACCCTGAAGGAATTCGCAAAGGCTCTGGAGACCAACACTCATGTGAAGAAGTTCAGCTTGGCCGCAACTCGTAGCAATGACCCTGTGGCCCTTGTGAGTAAGACTCCAGAACACAGCATGGAATCACTTAATTCACTGAGATTCTTTATTTTTATTTTCTTTCTTATTTTTTTAAAGTAATATACTAATTTACTTTTTAGGGTTTAAATTTTTTTTAATTTGTACATATGTGTATATACCATGTGTGGGGGTGCTGGCAGGAGTGGTCAGAAGAAGATGCTGTATCCACTAGAACTGGAGTTTAGGGATAGTTGTTAGCTGCTTTGTGGGTACTGGGAATCTAACCTGGGTCTTCTGCAAAAGCAGCAAGTGCTCTTAACCACTGAGTCATCTATCTCCCCAGTACCTCTAGGTTTTTTTTTGAAGATGTATTTTATTGTTAATTATGTGTATTTGTGTGTAAATAAAAACTTGAGTGCAGTTGCCCATGGAGGCCAGAGGTATTGAATTCCCTGGAGCTGAAGTTATAGGCACTTGTGAGCTGCCCAGTATGGTTGCTGGGAATTGAACTTGAGTCCTCCACAAGAGCAGTACATGCTCTTGTGCTGAGTCATCTCCTGAGCCCTGAGCAAGGCTTGAACTCACTATGTAGCCTGGGCTGGCCTTGAATTCCCAGTAATCCTCCTGCCTGCTTCATCCTGCCAAGTGCTGTGATTGCAGGCATGAGTTACCATGCCTGCCTCTAGAGATTCTTTTGTTTTATCAGTTAAAAGTTTTAGATCTGATTGGTTTAGTCTACCAACTTACAATTATGAGGCACTAAAACCTTAGCGCCTATACTACAAGGAGTCTGAATTAACTAGAATCTTGTCAGAGTTGCACTTTCCAAAAGAAAGAAACAAGAGCTTCTTGGCATCTAGCTAAATAAATATTTAGGGTTTGTTCTCTGCTGAGTAAAACTATGCTGAAACTTTTGCTTCTACAATAACATTCTGTTACACTCATTCGATGTTATGAGCCCAAAAACTTGCTTGAACTTGGCACATTTAAAAAATGTCAGAGAATATTTTATCTTAATCTTTGACGTGGATTAAACAATCAGACATTGAGACAGTTAGACTATGGAAAGAAAAATAATAACCTTAACCTGTCTCTGCATTTAAGTTAATGCAGCCAAATAAGAAAGCTCCTTAGCCCTAGTAAAAACTATTACTGCCATAGTTATCCCATGTTCCTCCTGTGTACTCTTCATATTAGAAGCTACTTTCCTAAGGGACCAGTGGATCCAGCACTGACCTCTGAGTTTTGCACACGCCACCTTACCTGGTCATCGCTGTAAAGTATGTACAGGTGTGAGTTCCCACTATAGCAAATAAGCAGATTCTAACCTAAAAGAGGTTAAATTATCCATGGAGTAAGGGTGAAGACAGAGGCAGGCATAAACACCAGAGTCCTGTGATACATTGGCTAAAATGTCATTTATAGGAGGCCTGGGAATCAAACTGAAAGTCTACACTCAGATCTCAAGTCAACTAGAAAAACAAAAGTCTTGATGTGCTGTTTCAATTTAAAGTAACATGCTTCAATCAGAGAGATGGCTCAGCAGTTAGAAGTACTTACTGCTCTGCCTTTAATCCCAGAACTTGGGAGTCAAAGGCAGGCAGATCTCTTTGAGCTCGAGGATAGCCTGGTCTACATAGTGAGTTCCAGGACTGCTGGGGCTATAGGGAGACCCTGCCTCAATATAAGACACACACACACACACACACACACACACACACACACGTAATTAAATCTTTAAAATAAATTTTAAAAATAGACTAGCATGTCTCTTGGAGAATCTCAAATAGCATTTAAAACATGGCACCTTTAATCCCAGCACCTAGAAGGCAGAGGCAGGTGGATCCCTGAGATTGAGGCCAGTCTGGTCTGTATATCTTAATTCCAGACCAGCTGGGGCTACAGAGAGACCTTGCCTTAAAAAACAAACAAAATGAAACAACAATAACAAAAAAAGCGAAATACATAACTATCATGAGGCTTGCACAGAATAGATGTTTGAAAAGTACTAGTTCAATGAGTAATGAACAGTTGTGGCCTGCAACCTCACAGCACCACCATGCTCAGGCAAAAATCTTGATAATATAGTCTGTGTATAAATTAATAAAATTGAACAGAGAAATGACTTGGTGCTATTATTTCCCATATTATAATGAAAGTATAAGGAAGGTGATCATTATACTCCATTTTCAATACTATTAGTAGATAATCTATGTCCTCTTTTAGGTTAAATTGATAGCATCATAGATAGACCAAATCCAAATATAACCATCTCTTTGATGCTGTTTTCTTGATGTAACTACACATTGAATGCCTACTATAAACAAGCATTATGATAGGGTGATCTTTGGTAGACAGCTACCTGTTATTTGATACCTGTAGTAACTTCCACAGACATGAGTTCCCTCAGATAATTGAGGTTTGCTGATAGGATCTAATGAATTTTTATTTACCCAGAGGCAGTTAACACTGGCTTTAGTATGAAGAGTAATTGTCCTTGACAAGGGTGTGAAGGGAAAATGCCTTGGGCCAACTAGTTACAGGGTTTCCTATGTTCCCACCCACACTTGGCTGAGCCCACATGGTTCTTCTCCCAGCTTTGCCCTTGTCTGGAAAGAACTTTTGTATAGGCTGAAAATTGGATCATTACCCAATGATGATTTAAGAGATCATCAGACTATGATTATAGCTGTTATTATTGAGTTTAAAAATAGCCATTGGGTTGAAGAGATGGCTCAGTAGTTAAGAACATGTATATGTAGTGCTCTTGCAGAGATCCCGAGTTCAATTCCCAGTGCCCATTTCAGGTAGCTAACAACCACTTACACTTCTAGCCCCTGTTTCCGGCCTCTGTGGATGCCAGTATTCATGTGCATATACATAGTCACACACTCATACATATATATATACATGATTAAAAATAAAATAAATCTTTAAAAAAATAGCCCTATTGCTCATCTTTTTGGCCTAAGCAGTTGTAAAAATAGCCCTAAAATCTAGCCATGGCCAGGCATGGTGGTACATACCTTTAATCCCAGCACTCAAGAGTCAGAGGCCAAACATGGTGATACAATGGCATAATACACATAATACCCACAAACATAGTACTGAGGAGGTGGAGGCAGGAGGATCAGGAGTTCAAGGCCAGCCTGGGCTATGAACAAAAATATGCTTAAGCCAAGATCTGCAGAAGATTTTTCTATTTAAGGTTTAAAAACAGATTCAATAGGCCATGCCTACAGTCTCAGCACTCAGGAGGCAGAGGCATAAAGATCACTACAGTTCCAGGCCAGCTGGCCTATGAAGAGAGTTTCAGGCCAGCCAGGTCTACATAACAAGACCTTGTCTCCAAAAAAGATGTGTGTTGATATGTAGATATAATTCAATGAGGTAGTTGCATTCTTTTATTCTATTACATCTTAAATTTTTTTTTGCTTATTTATTATATGTGTGTGTTTTGCCTACATGTATGTAAGTGTACCATGTATGTGCAGTGCTCATGGAGACCAGAAGAGGGAGTTGGATCTCCTGGAACTGGAGTTATAGATGGTTGTTATCTACCATATGGGTGCTGGGAACCAAATCCAGGTCCTCTGCAAAAGCAGTCAGTGCTCTTAACAACCCTGACCTATCTCTCTAGCCTCATAGTACATCTTTGAAATCCAATGGGTGTTTTACACTTTTTGGGCGTGGGGGCGGTTTGAGATAGAGTCTCATACCTGGAGCTCACTATATAGACCAGGTTAGCATACAGAGCTCCATCTGCCTCTGCCTTTCACGTGTTTGGGATTAAAGGCTGGCACCACCACGGCTGGCTAACGTTTTAAAAATATTTTATTGGGGCTGGAGAGATGGCTCAGTGGTTAAGAACACTGGTTGTTCTTGCAGAAGACCCGGATTCAAATCCCAGTACCCACATGGCAGTTAACAACTGTCTGTAACTCTGTACTTACCTATATGTAGACAATACACACATACACATAAAATAAAAATAAAAAATAAAACTTTTTTAAAAGTTTAAAAAAATAAAAATATTTATTTTTAAATATTAGTATCTTTTGTGTATGAGTGTATAGCCTGCATATATATAAGTGTACCCATGCCATGCAATGCCCATGGAAGTCAAAAGAGGGCATTGAATTCCCCCAGAAATGGAGTTAAGTATGGTTGTTAGCCACCGTGTGAACCTATGTCCTCTGCAAGAGCAGTCAGTGCTCTTAACTGCTGAGCTAGATCTCCAGTCCCTGTGTGTTTTACACTTTTAGCACATCATTTCAGATGAGTAAGTCTTCAGAGACTCAGTAGCTATGTTTCTTGTGGCTAGTATTTGAATAGTATGCATAATTATATTTTTGTATTATCCCATAAAGTACAGAAAACAAATCTTTATTTTATGTGTATAAGTATTTTGCTTGCATGTACATAAGTGCACCATGTGTGTGCAGTGTCTGTAGAGGCCAGAAAAGGGCATCAGATCTCCTGGAGCTGGAGTTATTGATAGTTGTTTGCTGCCATGTAGATGTTGGGAACCAAACCTGGATCCTCTTCAAGGGCAGCCAGTGCTATTAATTGCTGAGCCATCTCTCCAGCCCTACAAATCTTTTCTTATTTCTACTCTAATATTTCTACAATATTTAAGAAATCACTTCTCTATAATGAGGCCCTGTCTTTAAAAACAAAACAACAACAAAAATAAATCACATCTCTCTTTTACTGACAGTATTATCCCCAGCACATAGAATAGATGCTTTGCTGAATGAAAACGTACTTGGTTATAATAACTCAGAATTTTGTTTGGCTGAGTCTGTTGTTCAGTTTGGGAAGAAGTCTTTTCTCAAGTTTAAGAAAAACTGACAGAATCCTGGCTGTTTGTCAGGAAGTCCTGTAAGTTTTTGTAAGGAACTAATTGTTCTGACATTTTGTTATTCGAAAACTGAAAATTAATGTCAAAGTTTGGCATGTCCAACTTAAGGAAAGACAGATATAGTCCCTCTGGTGTTCTGATTAAAATGTGTACATTTAATTTTTATTTAAAACTTTAATTTACATAGTATACCATAATAGCCCCAATCCTTGAGGTTTTTTTTTTTTTTTTCAGTTCAAACATTGGTCTAACACACAGGACTATTATTTTATCCTAGTGGTTCTCAACTTGAAGGCCGTTTTGCTCTCCAGGATGCATTTGGCAGCATCTGGAGATCTTTGAGTTCGTGGTGATTGGGACAAATCCTATTGGCATTTATTTGATCTCAGAGACCAAAGATACTGCTAAACAGCCTCCAGTACAAAGGACAACACCCTGTAGCAAAGAATTCTCCAACCCCAAATGTTAGCCATGCAGAGGTTGAAAAACTTGTTCAGTCTCTTGTTGAATTCCTTCTTCTCTTTCCTGCCTTTCCTGTCATGAGAACACTGAGAATAGGCTAGAACTTCCTTGATCTACTCCCTAGACAAAATTGCTGTTAACAATCCATTTTTCACTCTTCTAGTTGCTTTGTGGCTTTGATTAAAGTGGTTGTGAATCTGAACTGTATACTACTCACTTGGAGAACAGAAGGCCAGGCCACAGTCTTGGAGCCTGACTCAGCTCAAGTTCATCTGGGATGGGTCCAAGCAGATGTATTGAAAAAAAAAGTGTGTGTGTGTGTATTTATATGTAACAGTTTTATTTATGTGGGGGAGAGTATATGTGCACATGTGTGTGCAGTGTCTGCAGAGGCCAGAGGAGGGCATTGGATCCTTTAGAGCTGGAATTACCGTTTGTGAGCTTTCCAGTGTGGATGCTGGGATCTGAACTCCAATCCTCATGATTGTGCAGCAAGAGCTCTTAACCACTGAACCATCTCTTCAGCCCCAATTATATGTATATTCTAAAACTTTTTTTTGTACTGACATATTTTTTAAAGTTCCCAGGTCACACTAATGTGCAGTCAGGATAGAAGAAATTTATAGATAAACAGAAATTTTTATTCACCATCTTAGATAAGATTTATTAATATAAATTAATGAAATTAATGGTGGCATGCTCCTTTAATCCCAGTACTCAGGAGGCAGAAGCAGGTGGATCCATGTGAGTTTAAGGCCTTCATAGCGAATCCAGGCCAGCTGTGGCTACAGGGAGACCCTGTCTCAAAAAAAAGAAAAAAAAGAGAGAGTGAGAAGATCGTGTCTCTATTTTTCTGTCTTTCATCTTCTATCTCCAAATTGAAGCTCTTGGATTATTTTCACACAAGTAGTATATATTATATACACATTGATACATATATGTCAATGTTTTATATATAGTTTGATTCAAAAAATTAAAAACCAAATAGCAGCATTTCTAATACATGACTTTCTTATATAAATCTCTTTTCATGAGCCTTACAGTGACTAATGGTAGTCTGATTGGTAACTTGATATTTTCCTCTAGAAGCTTTAGCGTTCTCTCTCTCTCTCTCTCTCTCTCTCTCTCTCTCTCTCTCTCTCGCGCGCACGCGCACGCTCTCGCTCCCTCGCTCCCTCTCTCTCCCCTACCCCTCTCTTTGGGGCCCTAATTCCACTTGTGTGAAATATAAATTCTGCTGAGGATCTAGTTGTTTCTTTTGGCTAAAGCCTCATGACTTTCCTAGGCTCTAGGAAATTTTCCCCAATGATTATTTGATAATTCTTCCTTTCCCTTGTCTCTCTTTATTTTTTGTCCTTCTCAAACTCCTCTTAGATGAATGTTGGACCTCTGCAACTTTCCTCTGTATGTTTGTTTTTTTCATATGTTCTTTTTGTTTTTTATTGCATATCCTTGGAAATATCCCCAGCTTTATCTTCTAGCTTACCAACATGATTTTCTAGCGTGCTCATTTTTAATTCTGAGTGTCTATTACTGTGGTGTAACTTCTCCCTGAGAAGATGCAAACAAGCATCTATTCACCCCAGGCATGGTACAAATGATAGACCAAAGTAACAACTGCACCCAAGTCTAGCTTGATGAACAAATGAGGTTTTTTTTTTGGTTACTTACAGGAGCATGGATCAAGAATTGCTTACAGAGCCAGGCAAGGTGGTGCATGCTTTAATCCCAGCACTCAGGAGGCAGAAACAGGTGGATCTCTGTGAGATTGAGGTCAGCCTGGCCTACACAGTGAGTTCCAGGCCAGCTAGGGCTACAAGGAAATTCTGTCTCCAAAAAAACAAACAAACAAAAAAAACGGGACTAGAGAGATGACTCAGTGATTAAGAGTACTGGCTGCTCTTGCAGAGGATCCAGGTTCAGTTCCCAGCACCCACATGGCAGCTAACAACCTTCTGTAACTCCAATTCTAGGGATCCAACACCCTCTTCTAACCTCCGAGGGCATTACACAGCATGGGAGCATTTATATACATTCAAACAATATAGTCATACACATATAATAAAAGTAATAAATTAAAAAAAAAACAAATAAAGCTGGATATAGTGGCATACACCTTTAATCCCAGAACTCAGAAGGCAGATGCAGGTGATCTTGGTGAGTTCAAGGCCAGTCTGGTCTACATAGTGAGTTCTAGGCCAGCTGGGGCTACAGGGAGACACTGTCTTAAAAAGACAAAAAATAAAACAAGCAAACAAACAAAAGAGTATTGGGGAGAGATGGCTCAGAAATTATGAGAACTGGCTACTCTTGCAGAGGGGCTAGGTTCAATTCCCAGCACCCACATGGCAGATAACAACTATTGGTAACTCAAGTTCCAGAGGATCCAATGCCCTTTTCTGGCCTTCATGGGTATTAATTGTATGATATGGGTACATTTACATACATGTATGCAAAGCACTCATACATATTAATTAATTAATCAGCCCACTTACAGGGGCTGAGTGTGGTGGTGCATGCCTTTAATCCTAACACTCAGAAGTCAGAGGCAGGTAGATTTCTATGAGTTTAAGGCCAGTCTGGTCTACATAGCAAGTTCCAGGCCAAAAACAAGCCCACCTGAGTATGGTGACATATGAGACCCTGTCTAAAACAAATAAATGGAAAGGCTAGAGGAAAGGATTTTGAGTGTTTTCAACACAGAGAAATGACAAATGTTTGAGGTGATAGATGTGCTAACTACTCAGTTTGCCCATTATATGTATATCAAATTGTCTCTGTACCATATAAATATGTACATTTATTATGTATTATTTAAGAATTTAACAATGTAATCCCAGCACTCAGGAAGCTGAAGCAGGAGGATTATAGGTTCAAGGCCAAAAAAAAAGGAAAGAAAGGAAATTGGTGGAGAGAATAGCATACCCAAGAAAGTAGTCTCTTTTAGGACATTTCATTAAAGAACTCCCGGAGGGACAGAGGGCACAGCTAGCGGTGGAGAGTACTCTATCCTCCCTGATGCTTCCTTCCAAAAGAGCAGCTGCTAAGGAACTGCCAATGACAGATCTCCTGGGAGGAGCCTCTGGTGAGGGACCATGGCCTGAGGCAGAAGCAGTGCAGAGACCTGCACACCAGATGCAGTACAGATATGTGGCTATGCTGGGATTATATATGTGCGCCACCATGCCTAGCAAGCTATTTTAAAATTCATAATAACCGGGCATGGTGGCACACGACTGTAGTCTCAGCACTTGGGAGGCAGAGGCAGGTGGATCTCGGTGAGTTCAAGGCCTGCCTGGTCTACATAGTGAGTTCCAGGCCAGCTGGGGCTACAGGGAGACCCTGTCTCAAAAAGACAAAAAAATAAAATAAAATAAATAATAAATTATTAGCTATCACTATCCCACAGTTACAGAGCACTGACTAGCTCTCTTTCTTAGGCTCTGGTAACCAATATTCTATATCTGTGAGCTTTTTGAGCTCATGAGATGAGTGAAACTTTAAGCATTAGCTTAGAGCATGCACTGATTCCATAGATAGGCCATGTGAGCAGTGTTGTACTAAATATAGGAATGCAGACAGCTCAGAACATACTGATTTCATTTCCTTAGGCTATATCCCCAGTAGTAAGAGTCCAGGAAAATGTTTTAAGATATTAATACAGGCAAAGAATTTTTGGATATGACCTCAAAAGCACAAGCAACAATAGCAGAAATAGATAAATGGGATTACGTGAAACCAAAAGTCAAGGAAAGGGCACAGTCAAAAGGCAGCCTGCAGTGGGTGGGACGGGACTGGAGAGATGGTTCAGTGGTTAAGAGGACCAGCTGCTCTTCAGAGGACTTGGGTTTAGCTCCCAGCACCCACTTGGCAGCTAACAACTGTTGGTAACTCCAGTTCCAGAGGATCTAAGACCTCTGATCGCTACAGTCACCTGCACTCATGTCCACCTACCCACATGAAAACACATACATAATTCAAAATGAAATATATCTTTTAAAAAAGGAATTAAGACAAAGAAGGCCCTAATGACTATTTGTTTTTGCATAATTAGGCTTTTGCAGATATGCTGAAAGTAAACAAGACCTTGAAAAGTCTAAACATAGAATCTAATTTTATCACTGGAACTGGAATCCTGTCCCTAGTGGAAGCACTGAGAGAAAATGACACCTTGACAGAGATCAAGATCGACAACCAGGTACAGAGGGGAAGCGTAGGGAAAGCTGCCATAGACCTTACTCCCTAAGAGTGGAAAGCACAAGGGAATGGCCTGAAACTCAGCATTCTGTGTGGATTTGATGGGGTCTTCTGGCTTTCCTACAAATCTTTTTTTCAACGTTGTTTATTTATTCATTTTGTATGTGTATGAGTTTTCTGTCTGCATGTATGTAAGTGCACCCATTTCATACAATACCCTCAGAGGCCAGAAGATGGAGATGATCCCCTACAACTGGAATTATAGACAGCTGTTAGCTGTCATGTGGGTGCTGGGAACTGAACCTGCGTCTTCTGCAAAGACAGCCAGTACTTTTAACCACTGAGCCATCTCTCCAGCCCTGCTTTCTTATAAAACTTAATAGCTTTTGGCCTATAAAGAGTGTAAGAAATCATGTTTCTCTCTCTCTCTCTCTCTCTCTCTCTCTCTCTCTCTCTCTCAGATTTATTTATTTTTATTCTGTGTGTTTAAGTGTTTTGCCTCATGTATGTGCACCACATGCATGCAAAGCCCATGGAAGCCAGAAGAGGGTGTCACATCCCCTGGAACTAGAGTTTCTGACAGTTGTTAGCTGCCATGTGGGTGCTGGGAACTGAACCCAGGTCCTGTGCAAGAGCAGCCAGTGATCTTAACCGCTGAGCCATCTTTCCAGCCTCCATGTTGGCTTTTTTAAAAACTAAAACTTTTTAAATTATTTTTATTTTATGTGTATGACTGTTTTGCCTACATGTATCTAATAAGTGCACCCCCATGTCATACAATGCCTGTGGAGGCCAGAAGAGGGTGTTGGATCCCAAGGAACTGAAGTTACAGTTGTTAGCCTCCATGTGAGTGCTGGGAGTCGAGCCTGGATCCTCTGCAAGAGCTGTACACACTCTTAAGGTGAACTATCTCTCTAGCCCATATCTTTAATTATTTGCAGATATGGATCCCAGAATAGAAAATTCAGTAATTGGAGTGATGATTGTCAGAATGTTCTACTATTTAAGAATGCCTCTGCTTAAATCACTTTGGTACTAAATGACTTGAAAGCACCAGATATAATTTTTTCTTTAATTTCACCTCAGGAATCACCTTTCTCTCTTTGTTTTATTACTTTTATTAACAAAACACTCTCATTAGACACTCTCGTGTGTTAGCCCAGGCTAACATTGAACAAATGATCTTTGTGCCTCAATCTCCCAAAATGCTGAGATCGCAGCATTTCATCATGTATGATTTCTTGGCTGTCAGGGTTTTTGTCATGCTTGTGTATGTGTTCATGCATGTGTGTACATGCATGTGTGTACATATGTGTGTGCATTCCTGTGGAGGCCAGAGGTTGACGTCAGGTGTCTTCAGTCATGCTCTATCTATTTTTTGAGACAAAGTCTCAAAGCTGAACCTGGAGCTTACTCATTGGCTAGACTGATAGCCAGTGATGTCTGGAGATTTACCTGCCTCTGCACCCCCAATACTGGGTTGTAGGTTTATGTCTTTGTGCCTGACTTTTTAACACTGGTGCTAAGGATCCAAATTCAGGTCCTCATGCTTCCATAGCAAGCACTTTACCCACTGAAACATCTCTCCATCCTGATTTCTTCTTCTCTTCCTCTTTCTCCTCCCTCTCCCCTTCCCTTCTTCCTCTTCCCTCTTTTCATTTTAGAATGCCAGAAGATTCAGCTATTTGTATAAATGTTTGTGGAGGGGGTGGGAGGGAGTAGGCTCTTGCTTTTTTAAAGATTTATTTTATGATTTTTAATTATGTGTATAGGGCTGTGTATGGGTATGTACCAATGCCTGAAGAGGCCAGAAGAAGGCATCAGATTCCCTGGAGCCGGAGTTACAGGTGTAAGCAGCCTGATGTGGGTACTGGGTCCTCTGCAGTATGCAGTCTTAACCACTGAGCCATCTCACCAGTCCCAATCGGTATAAATTTTGCTCTAGGCAAAGAGCCAGATTCATATGACTGTATGGGAAAAAATATCTCAAGTGGCTCTGTTCCTTTAAGTTTGAGATTTTTTTTTCTTTGCCTCTTATTTTTTATGTCCAAGTAGCCATGTAACTTTTCTGTGTAAGTAACAACTGACTGTTTTCTTTTTCCTCCCTGGTAATTAATCGGTGTGTGTGTGTGTGTGTGTGTGTGTGTACACCTACAAACAGAGGCAGCAGTTGGGAACAGCTGTAGAGATGGAGATCGCCCAGATGCTGGAGGAGAACTCGAGGATCCTCAAGTTTGGATACCAGTTTACTAAGCAAGGGCCACGGACAAGAGTGGCAGCTGCCATCACAAAGAATAATGACCTGGGTAATACGGACATGACCTGTGCTGGAAGAACGAGCACACTGAGCAACATCTTTCCACTTCAGAGTCCACATCTCAGATGCCCTTCCACTGGGTTTGGCATCATTAGCTTTCATCAGAGACTTTTTATTAGGTGGTCATGGGACTCCTCTGGTCCTCATAATGTTGAAGTTCTTTCAAGAAGAACTTTTGTTCTTGCTTAATTCTTGCTTGATTTCATTTTGACTTTAACTTTCCTTTTTGACTTCTTATTCCATGTGGATTGCAATCTCTCCAGTTGTTCTCAAATACTTATGTTTGACTTCTGAGTGTGCTTTTTTTGGTACTTGAGTACTTAAGCAACACAGCAGAAGGGTATTTAGGACCAGACAGTCCATTTTAGGCATCCAGGAGCAAACTTGAGTCCCCGGTTTGAGTTTCAGAAACAATGTACCAGACCTTAGACAGGGAAGCTGGGCAAGATGTTCCTCCAAGTATAGCACTGGTCACAAAGGAGGTACAGAGAGTGGCCAAGAAAGAAGCTAAGGCCAGAATGGGAATGGTCAAGTAAAGGTTACTGTCAAGCTCCCTGCCCAAACATACTTATTCAAGATGCAGACCCAGCCAAAGTTATTTCACAGTGTTTGGCAACAAGAGGCAGATGACCAGACAAGGTGGCACACATCTGTAATCCCAGCACTGGGGAGGTGGAGGCAGGAGATCAGAAATTCAAGGTCATCCTTAGCTACATAACTAGCTCGAGGCCAGCACAAACCTATGTCAAGAAACAGAAGAGGAAAAAGGAAAGGAAAGAGAGGGGGGGAGGAAGGGAGGAGGGGAGGAAGAGATGGAGGGAGGGTGAGAGAACGGGAGGAGGAGGAAGAAAAAAGAGGAGAGCTTGGCAGGACATTAGGCCATGCTTAGCTCTGGGGTGCACAGAGTACGAGCAACAGTCCAACAAGCGGTTTTCCAAAAGGGTAGAGGTGGCACTCAGAAGAAACCTAGGAAAAGCACATTAGGTCCATGTCTGAACAACACAGAAACAAACAAAAAACAGGCAAAGCAAGGCTCTGGAGTACAAGAGGAGAGCCTGAGGCCAGAAACAGCAACTAGGGGCAACAGCATTGTCAGTTTCCTACAGCTTGGGCGTCTGAAAGTAGAGAGTTAGGGAGGACCTCAGTCTGGGCACCATTTGGCTAAAGCCAGGAAACTTCCAGTAGCCTGCTTGCTAGCAACCAAAACAGCTTACAGGAGGGAAGGTGAAAAGAGAAGAAAGGGGTTACAGAAACTGGGGATCAGGCCAGGTGTGGTGTGGTAGTACATGCCTACAATTCCAGCACTCAGGAAGCTGAGGCAGGATGATCATGGTTGAAGGCTAGCCTGGGTTACATAGTAAGGTCCTGTGGGAGAAAGGAAGAGAAGGCAGTTCTGATGGCGTCTTTGATCCCAAGCATCAAGTGAAAGGATCCTTAATCTCTGGGTTTGCTTGGTGTCCAAATTACTCCTTTTTTAAAGACAAGCATTTCTAAATTTTGTTCCTTTTTTTTTTTTTTGAGATAGAATCTTGCTGTACAGCCCAGACTGTTCTTGATCCTCCTGCCTCAGCCTCATGAGTACTGCAATTAAAGGTGTATTCCACCCAGTCCAAGACCTAGGAGTTGTTTTGCTTAGATGAGATTTAGAAACTTTGAGCTTCTGTTTACAGAAGCCTTGTTTTCCAGTCAATGAACAGAATTAATGGATTGTATTCACCTGGGAAGTCAGTGATTGAACTACACAGAAGCTGAGGAGATACCCTGTGTGTAAATCCCCATGAAAATATTTAGAGGTTCGTTGTTCTATGGCTGTCTTCTGGACAGACTGCTCCATAGGCAAAGAAGTCCTAGCATTCAAATTGCCAGATATAGCTCTATTTGAATATAAATTCCCATATAGCTTTATTTAAATACAAATTCCTTGAGAGAGTAAATTATTTTGCAATTTCCATTTATTGCCATGATTAATTGAATATTTAAGATGATTTTTACCCTCAAGTATGTGGCATAGCTATTTTGTGGGGTTAATGTTTTTCTAGATTTTTAAAGAGTATTCCTTTCTTCAATTTGTCTTTTCTCTTTCTCACCTAGTTCGCAAGAAGAGAGTTGAAGGAGACCGGAGGTAAACATTACCAGATGAGGTGAAGTTTTACCAAGCAGCCATTTTAAGACACAAACGCCTCCTCTTCTCCATGGGACCATTTTATCTGAGGTTATTCATTTCTGTTAACCATATAACTCATAATTTGTTATTCTTTTTAGCACTACTTATTTATATGGGATTCTGAAATGTGTACAGTTGTTTTTACTTGTTCCTAGACACACCTGGCAACTTGCACAAGCAGACTGACACAGATCTTAGTAACAACTGCCGAAAATGATTTTAACCACTTTCATATTGGGCTGTTTGCTTTCTTACATGAACATTTTTTAATCATGGAAGGGGATTTAGCATATAGTGTGTGTTTGTTGCTGATTAGGCTAGAAGCCTATCTCTGTTTACATGCATTGCTTTGAGTTAGGTGAGTACATGAAACGTGTGCTGCCGACTACATGAGAAGTTAGTATTGCCAATCTTTCACAAATCTTTCACAAATTCTCCGTTAGTTCCAGAAAAATCTCTACATGTATATACCTAATTAATTGATAGTGGTATTCTCTTCAAAAAGCACTTTAACATAACATAAGCAAATAGTTTATTAACACATATTAACACATAATATATTAACATATATTATGAATATATGGGTAAACCACATTTACAAGTAGGAAGATGAATTCACACACCTGTCTTTACTATTCAACATGAACGTGTATGTGTGTGTGTTTGTGTGTGTTTGTGTATGTGTGTGGTGACAGGGATTGCACCCAGGGCCTTGTATATTTGAGGCAGGCACTCTACCTCTAAGCCACATCTTCAGCTCAAATTAAATATTTCAAATGACTCTCTATTTACAAAGCTGTTGAAAAACTTTCCAAGCATGATGGGAAATTTTTTAATTTTACTGAAAGAAAAATTTTAAAACAGTACATTCCTAAATAAAACAGTAATAATGGCACCTTAGGGGCTGTAGAGATGGCTCTGTGATTAAGAGTGCTTACTGCTTAAGGACAAGAATTGGTCCCCAGCACCCATGTTGGGCAGCTCACAACCTCCTGTAACTTCAGCTCCATGGGATCCAACACCCTTTTCTGGTTTCCTTAGGCACTGCACTCACATGTGCACACACATTCTCTCTCTCTCTCTCTCTCTCTCTCTCTCTCTCTCTCTCATTATTAAAAACAAAAAACCTTTAAAAAATGGCACTGTATGCAGGTATGTTGTTGCATGCCTTTAATCCCAGCACTCAGGAGGCAGAGGCAGAGGCCAGCTGTGACTACAGGGAGACCCTGTCTCAACCCCCCCCAAAAAAGCACTGTAATCAAGGTTGTCTGTAGACAAGATTGACTGAATTTGACAAATTCTAAAAGCAAATATTATTTTAAATCTTTAGCATTACTAGATCACAGGATAAATGTGAGCGCTATGGTTCATTATGTAGATTTTTGTCACATGCCATTGCTTCTCTGCCTTTTGACTAAAATCAAGTACAATTTTTTGTCACATGACAGGGTCAATCCAGACATTTGCAGATGTTTGGGGAAAATGAATTGTCATTTTGCAGATGTCTATCACCTCAAAGACAAAGCCTGTGAAAACGCAGTTGAGATGATTGTGTTAATCTCTTAGTATAATGGTATGATAGTGCAATGCAGAATTATGGGGACAGGTGATGTGAGCCTTTGGCTCAGGACAGCTGCTTACCCTGTCATGGATAGCTGAGGATGCCAGACACTGTGATTGTTGCACTCTGACATGGCTGAAGACACCTGTGTTAGTTACACTTCTCATTGGTCTGACAAAATACCTGACAGAGGGATTTAAGGAAGGAAGGGTTTATTTTGGTTCACAATTTGAGGGTACAGTCCATCATGGTGGGGAAGGTATAGCTGGCTGCAGGAGTGTGAGGTGGCTGTCACTCACAGCCAGGAAGCAGAGAGAGATGACTGCAGGAGCTCAACTCACTTTTTCCTTTTCCCCTGTTTATGCTGCCCGCATTCAGGATGGATGCTCCCTCCTCGGTTAAACCTGTTTAGAAACAGACACAGACACAATCAAAAGTGTGTCTCCTAGGTGATTCCAAGTTCAGTCAAGTGACAATTGAAGATTAACCATCAAAATATCTTTCTCTTTCTCCCTTTTCCTCTCCTTTCCTTACAAGTTGTCTCTTATTTTTCTGCTTTTCTCTCTGATTCTAAGTCTTATAAAGGTATTATCTCACATGCTATTGACACTTAGAGCAAAAGAGGTTGCTGTCCTTGGCAGATACTGGGCCCAATCCTGTATATTTTTAGTCACTGAGGGTTCCTGAGTTACTTGGTAGCAAGAAGACAAGTTTATAGGCAATAATATATTATACTACTTAGCTGGAAAAGCACATGGAATCTGTTTAGAAGAACTCTTAAAAAACTGGACACTTGAGCCAGGCATAGTGGCTCATGCCTTTAATCCCAGCACTCAGGAGGCAGAAGCAGGTGGATCTCTATGAGTTCAAGGCCAGCCTGGTCTACATAGTGAATTCTAGGTCAGCTGGAGCTACAGAGAGACCCTGTCTCAAAAAATACCAAAAAAAGCAAAAACAAACAAAACCCTGGACACTTTGGGGATGAAACTGGACACTTACTTGTGCTCAGAGTATTGGAATCTAAAGTCCTTTGAAACATCTCTTCTTGAGGATGTTTACATTTTTAGGGCATAATAAACGAGATACTCTGGCATGTTTGGAGTCTCCCCAAATCCTTTAGTTTAGTACTATGTCTCACTATCAATCTTCAGAATTTAGTAGTGAATCCTATTTGAAGGTTTTCATTATGATTTTTCTTTCTCTCTTACCCATTTGGGTGTGGTGCGTTGGAGCCACTTTGTATAGATTTACTGATTGCTCAACGTAGCCACTACTAAAAATTTAGTGAAGGAGATGCAGTAGCACATGCCTGTGATCCCAGCACTTGGCAGGGGGAGGCAGTAGGATCAGCCTTGGCTACCTAGGAAGTTCAAGGCCAGCCTGAGCTACAAGACCTCCTCCCCTAACCTCCTCCAATTTAAAAAAAATTAAGTGACATGCACTTAGAATTATCTCAACTGTGGTAAAGATAAAACTGTGCTCTTGATATTATTTTAAAATGTTGTTTATATGGTGGAAATAGTACCTAAGGTGTACTAAGGTGCAGGTCTTCCTAACCTCCTCTTCATTAACTTCTCATGAGATGCTTGAGATTGGTTATGGTGGGAGGATATCTTGGAAATTAGCAACGTGTTACAAACTGGTACCCTTCTTTCCTGTTGGCAAATAAACAGTCATCAGCTGGTAGTAGGTGAAAGGTACAATTTATTTTACTCATGCCCTTTGGTTATCTTGTTGCAGAAAGGAGCATCTCTAATTACCTTTCCTATATCTCTTGGAATTGTCTTTACATGCAGAGTTCCTAACAATCCTCTTTCTAAACCTCCCATTTCTCATTTACTCTCTTGCTTTCATCCCTAACAATCTTGACCTTACAGAATGTTCTCGCAGCTCCACAGTGTGGACAGTGGGTTAAAAAGTTATTGACAAACCCTGGCAAAAAGCAGCAACAACAACAAAAATCAAAATTTGAAACGTGGTTATTCCTTTTTACAAGGAGTTCTTAATAGTACTAGAGCAAAGTAATAGGACATTACCAAAAATATTGTGCTACTTTTAGCTTACAGTTTATTAGATTAAATTAATTATTTATTACTAATTACTCATTTTATTATTACCCATATTATATGTATGAGTGTTTGCTTGCATGTATGTAAGTACATGCAATGGTGTCATACAATACCTGCAGAGGCCAGAAGAGGGCATCAGATACCTTGAACTGGAGTTAAAGGTTAGTTAGCCCCTGTGTGGGTGCTGGGAACCCAGCCTCTATCCCCTGCAAGAATAGCCAATGTTCTCAGCAGCAGGGTGTGGCGCACACCATTAGTCCCAGCATTTGGGAGGCAGAAGCAGGTGGATCTCTCTGAGTTTGAGGCCAGCCTGGTCTACATAGTGAGTTCCAGGCCAGCTGAGGCTACAGGGAGACCCTGTCTCAAAAAAAAAACAGCCAATGTTCTTAACTTCTGAGCCATCTCTCCAGCTCTATATAGCTCATATTTTTTGAGTGGTTTACAAGATGACATTTCTGTAAGTATTTACATATTGAAAGTAACTGTTAAAAGATAAGCATATATTTTGGGGAACTCTATCAAGTCATTTAACTAGTCTGAGACTTCACCTCCCATCTTCCCAAAATGTGCAAATGGACAGTTAATTCATAGTGATGAGACATAATGCATGTAAATCATTTTTATATGTATATGTTTTGCTAGGTAATATGTTTAGATACTGGTAATGCCTGGACAACTGTTTGGAGGGAGCTAATGTTGTTGCTCTAGGCCTGCCTCCCCTCGTCTTTACAGTTGTGCAGGCCTACACTGTGTAAAATCACTCACCTGGACTTGAGGGTCCCCGTCATTGATGTCTGTTGCAGCACTTGCAGATGAAGACTCTTAGGTGATAAATTCCTAAAGTCTAGAAATCATGATTAGCCAGCAGTACATCTTTCCATCTGCCTGATGTGTACAGTGGAAGCTCCTTTGTTCTCATCAGCATGATAAGATCCTTTGCTTTCATCTTTGGAGGGAAATATGTAAATACATATATGTGTGTGTATGTATGTATGTGTATGTGTACTTGTATGTGTAACTGCCTCTGTGTGTGTGAGTTGTCAGATATCTGACTAGGTATTTGGCTACATCTGGACAACTGATTGAAGGGAGAGGCTTTCTCCCCAGTTCCACTTTCCTTCCCTTTATAGAGTTCCTGCAGGCCCAGGTTCAATGAGAAATTACTCCCTGGAGTTTGCAGTTTCTGTCACCTACCACCACATTTCACAGCTGTGTGGAGCATGACCCTTAGGAAATAAGTATTAAAAGATAGAAATCATTTAATTATTCTATTATAAGATCTTCCCATCTGTCTAACGTGTGTAGTATTTCATCCTCCTCCTATCACTGTGTACATAGACATTTTGTACATAAAGATCACCAAATACTATACCAAGGTATTTGGCTACATCTGACCATGGATTTAAGGGACTGTGCATCCCTTGCCCCTCTCAGGATTGTTGTGGGCCCAGCTTAGAGAATCACATGCATAGAGGGGCAGGTGCAGCCCACCCATCTTATAGCACATGGCTCATCTTCCAGTAGAAGCCCATCTCCATGTAAAAACTCAGAAATCATCACAGTGCCTAGACCCCTCGAGCCAGGTTTCCTAAGGGAAGACTGGCACACTAGACCAGCAGAACAGCTGCTGCTCTTCCACATGGAAACATGGCCCCTGGTGGGCACCAGCATTAGGGAAGCCACTGCCCTTTGAATAATTGTCACGAGACATTTCTAATGGTGGGAGCTTAAGCCCCATGGGAAGCACACTGAGACAGTCCTTAGGCATTTACAAAAGCAAGCGTTTGTGAGTGTTTCCTTTTTCATGTATAAGACTCAGCTCTCTTCTAGATACTGTGAAAGAGTCAGAGGAAGCATAGGAATTTTGGACTGATAGAATTTTATGTGTTTTAGGGCTGGGAGAATAGACTGAGTCCCTTTTTGCAAAGCAGATACTGTGTTCAATTACTTCTGAGTTCCAGCCCCCTGCTATTCATCCCATCCTTGGTTAAAAGACTGAGACACAAATAAAGGAAAAGTGTAAAAATTTTACAAGCATCAGGCTAAGCCCAGTGAATAAAAAGCACAGATCAGCCTTCTGGAACTAATTAGCCAGAGAAAAGTGCCCAGAATCTCAAAGGTAGACTTACTTTCCTTATTTCCCCAATTCTAGATCTGACTGTATTTTAACTTTGTGATTTAAGAGACTTATAAAGTGAAGGGTCTGGGAATTTAATATTTAAATTAGTTTAATGACAGAACTGAGTTCCACTCTCTCATCTTACCTCTTTTCCCATCTGCCTA